CAAATCAGCTAACACTCATGAATGCAAATGGTTGATCCCCTGTAAATCAAATGAAAGGGAGAGTCTACATCCTAGAACAGCCTTTGAAACTCAGTCCATGGGTCATGGCTTGAATAGCTAATCATCTTCAGTCCTGAAAGTTTTTGGAAGCCCTTGGATAGGAACAAGTGAAAGTTTCCAGCATAAAATACAGAATGCTATGACCTGGAAGTCCTGAAAGGGCTCTTTTTAAAGATAATTAATGAAAAGACATCTGTGTTTTGCAGAAAATCTTCGTTGTTGTCACCCTACAATTCTGCTGTGCAAATATAATCCACCTTGCTCATGACATTAGGATAAACTGGGCTGCCCTTTACAGTGGTAACATTTCTAACTGTTGCAGGGAAATAAATGCCCTTATTAAAAAACTATAATACAATCAGAAGGAGGTTTGATGTGTTTTTTTAGACAATTTTAAAAAGATGTATTACAGCAAAGGTAGACTGAAGGACAGAGGGAAAAGGGGCATCGACCATACACACGGCAGCTACTTGCTAGGGTCACTGAAGGAGAAATATTAATTGTTCCTCAGTATCCTAAGATGAGCACTGTGCTACAGTAAATCAGGACTTTTTAGATAGAGGATTGTTCGTTGCCTACTTAACTTTCTTTGGCTTCTGTACAAGAGCTCCATCTTGTGGTTTACTTAGCTCCATTACTTCTGAGAATAACGACATCCTTGGAGAAGAACCATTACAGAAAAATCGATTAAGTAGCACAGGGGTATATTATATGTAGGGTAACAAATCCTCTTAAATGGATTATCATATTACATATACATCAACCAAAACTTCTGGCAGACTTCAGGAGTGAAGCTGCTCGAGCTGTTTGTAACAGCAGCAGAATCCTAAGTTTGACTGGCTTTTAGGCAACTCATCTCTCCAGGCTTGGACTTTTAATTATTTTCCTTTCTCAGACCAAAAGAAGGAAAATTAGAACAGCCAGGATGCAGACACACAACGTGTTTCCAGTAGTATAACTTGCCTTTTCCACACTGTAAAGATAGAGCAGACATACAACACCCAGCTCTGTACTGGTGGAAATCACTGCCCTGGGCAAAGTTAACTTTTGGAGTGTGAGCAGTGGCTGTATAAGTTACAGCAGTGGATGGGTCACATGTCTGCAACTCGACTCAGTTTTGTTCCCAGCATACCTGCCCTTTGCTCAATGCAAGCAAGTCATTATTGGTTTTCTTGCTATCCAATGGTGAGACACCATAATAGCACCTACTGTAGGCAGCTACCTATTTAAATGTAGTTTTCGGTCTTGTCTTATGCCTGGTGTAACTGTGCCATGTGCCTGTACCCAAAAAATCTTTTTGCTACAATGATGAGATGTTTTGGTTCAGTGAAGTTATGCAGCGATCCAGGGGAAATAAGTGTCCCATGAAGTGGCACTCTAGTCCAACCGATTCAAAAAGGGATTGGACAATTTTTTGGAGGAAAGGTGCTGATGTAGCTATTGAGAGTCAGGGGCCCCTCGTCTGAATCAGAACCCCCTAGACCTTAAATGCTGCAGCCTGCAAGTGGGAAAGGGGCAGGTCACATACCCTGTTCACTCTCCCTTTCAGCATCCATTACCTGCCACTACACGATAGGATACTGGGCAAGCTGGACTTACAATCTGACCCAGTAAGTGGAAGTTCTCATGGTCTTATGACAAACCAATCCCAATACAAGATCACATGGCTTATTGTAGTCAACCAGACAGATCCTAAGAGGTCTTCTTGCATTTTCCTGCCCTTTTTGGAGGCAGAATCCAACCTTTTCCAAGTCCCTGCCTACAAAAGCAAATCTAAACCAGAAAACTACAGTATCCTTACAACAGTGCAACCCCTGTGCCATTTTACTCCTAAGCTGCGAAACTAAGACTCAGAAGAAGTAATATGGTTTGCCAGAGCTACACACAACTCAGTGGCACAGACAGGACCTAAAAGCAAGTTGTTGGGGCCCCATGCTAACCATGTGGTGAAAGAGGAAGAGGAGCTCTAGGAACGCATCCGTGAACTAGCAAGGAAAACTTACTTCCAGACCCATCTCTGACCCTGGGCCCCTCTGAACCTGCCTCTGCGAGGATGTTGGCATTAGCATTATTCTCCATATACATCACATTCGAAGCTGTCTCGCTGTCTTCCTCAGGCTCAGGGTGACTGAAGATCCAGTCCAGTGCACGCTCCAAGTTATTATTCTGGCAGTCAAATGAGCAAAACATCAGTCATTAGCACTCTCGCTAGCATTGCAACTGCTGTACACACACCGATCCTTAAGTAAGCGGAGCATGTTCAGTAGCATTTGGTCCATTTGAGCAACACAAGTTGCCTCTATGAAGATGCATATTCAGCAGGCACTCTGCAAGTCTCCTGACCTCAGTCTATAATTGGATTCATTTAATGCTTAATGATTCCCTGCAGCATCATCAGTACCACACTTGCTGAATGATGCCATGCTCAGGGTTGTATCTGGTGTTGCTAGTAATGACAAGGGGTTGCACTATACAGGATATCAGCATTCATTTACATGCACAGGCTTTTAAAGTCATATTTGATGCACAACATGGCTCTATTGGTCATATAAATCATCACAAAGTAGTTAGCTGGAGCCAGTGTTAAGTGCATTATTCCTCCCTAGTCCTCCATAAAGAAATGGTTGGGGCTGGGATCACTGTCCAAATAAATGGTTTAAAGTGAATTCAGCTCACACCTTTCTGTCCTTTTGAAAATCAACATGATAGTAATATGTAAACCTTTGTTCAAACAAAAGTTACCCCTTATCCAGTTATGTGGAGGGCAGTTACAAAAGCCCCCCAATTACATATTTTGTTAGTTCAGGTAACCATCTCAATTGCAAGAAACCTGGGGCAGGAGGGACTGTCCTGTGTTCATACAGAGCCTACAACGGGGGCCTAGCCAATGGCCGGGGGTCCTGGGTACAACTGGAATTAGACATTATAGGTATATATGAAGAGGCAGGGAACAGAAACAAAAAAAGGAAGAGTGTTTCCTCCAGGACCCAGAATGAGCCCTTTCTCCCCTCATGGCCAGGGTCCTTTGGAGGCAACAAGATCCCTTGTCCCTAGACAACTGTAGATCACAGGCAGGTGACTAGGATTGTAACCCTCCTAAAAACACCCCAGAAAGGGGGAATTCATTAAATACTCTCAAGCACCCAACATGAAAAAGCCATGTTTTCCTTACCTTCCCCTTGGGGTTACATTAAAATGAGCATCCATCCAAAACCTATACACCCTTCCCTCCCCATCACTTATCTTGGGAGCTAACCTTGCCTGAAGCATGCCATCTCCTTGTTCCTCACCCACTACCAAATCTGAATTCCTTCATATGCATGCTTCAAAGGTTTCCCTACCTTCACATGCTAAAAAAAAAACTTAGAAGTTCTTCCGATAAACCAGGGAACTCACTGTTGCCTTTAGTGCCTGAATAGCTACATTCCTCTGGAAGCCCATGGAGACGACAATAGCTACCATCTCTTCTGGAGGTTGGTTATCTAACCCGATGACCCCTAAACCAGCTGCTCCAGCAGCAGCAACTCCTCCAAAACCAGGTATAACGAGCGGCTCGGCAAAGTCTGGAACAGACAAACATTTATCAGTTAACTTTTTTTCTTCGTGGAACCGCCAAAGCCATCAATCAACATGCCAGAGTCAAGAAGAGCCATTGTACTGGTGTGGAATTCATTTCAATGGGCAGAACACATGCACGATTCTCCCCTGTAGACCTAACCTGGAGCAATTCAGCATAGAGCATGAAACCACTGCAGCCATGCTGCAAGGGTGTGAACCCACATAATACTGAAGCCAAATGAGCAGCCCAGGGTCAACCCATAGTTGCCATACACGTGGCTGAATCCCTGGCTCTAGACACATGCAAAGAGCAACAGACCCTTCATGGCTTCCAGCACCAGCTTCTCTATTATTAGGCGCTGGATACTTCTGGTTCAACTGGGGTCTGCTGTGCATTCTCCAGGCAACAGGTGCCCCATAAATGTTCAATTGAATGGGGTTGTGTGTCAGGCTTACAGCAACAGTTTACACCAACATGGCAACAGATTAGGAAAATGCCAGGTTTGTGTTCGCTAGTTGTTATGGGGACATCAGTTATTTTTTTCCACCAAATTGGCACAATACATACTGACCCCAAGCGAGATGCACAGCAGAGCAAAAACTGCATCCACACCCTTGAGATTACTGACCTGGTTCTTCCATGTGTGCGATGATCCAGTTGAAAGCCACCTCTGCACCCAAGTTGCCAGTATAATAAACAGCTTTCCGACATGCTTCCAGTGGGAAGCCCATCTCTGCTAGTTGCATCACTGAAGAATCATCGATATCTGGAACTACAAGAAAATACGCTCCAACATAAAAGGTCAAACCCAGCTTTATCATATAGTTCTGTCAGATGGCATACATCACTTCGATTGTATTAACACTGCAGTAAACAATGCATTTAAAAAACAAAGTCTGGGCAAAGCACTATACCAGTAATTAGAGATTTACTTGTAAACTTTGATCTTAATAATTTACATACTAGCCTTTATTCTGAGGAGGCACTGTATTTACAGGAACCAGGATCACTCATCAGTGATGTGCCAACCCCTCTGGGCCCTTTAATTTCAGGCATTAATGTCAGGGGTGCCTGGAACATCAATCCAATGAGGAGCACAGTGCTGATACAATAGTTTAATTGTAAATGAAAGTTCAACTGTAACCACTCTCACTAATGTAACCTTCCATTTAGAAATGACTGTGTTCTTTGGTCATCTTGTCTGCATAGATATTGGTTAACAATTTCCAACCTAGTAAATATTAATCAACACATTACTTAGCTCCCTGTTGTAGACTATGGAGAAACTCCCACTAAGGTCAACAGGAGAAAGACTGGGGTTGGCCGGGGTTGGCTCAAGGTCTCCCACTTAACCTGCTACTTAAGTTGTCAAGATTACTTATACAAGTCCTCCAAACTGGAGTGAATTTTGCCATGTAAGGAAGGCAGCTTGTTGCTCACACTCCTTAGATACTTGTTCAATATGAATGCCTCACTTATTCCTTGTTGTTGAAGAAGCCTTAACATTAACTTCAACATGCTTTGCACCTAGCCCTATATATACCCTACATATACACACTTGAAAAGCAAATGCAAAGTTTATCCAAATGGCTGCTGATAAGCAGGAATCCTGGTTTTCCCTGATAAAAAGTTGCAAATTCTCTGATACGAAAAGTCACAAATTCTCTGATAAAGAGCCAAAAATCCATGGTTAAAATGAAAGGCCTCTCACTCCCTCCCCACAAACAACCTGCCTGGTCCTGCTGGTACCCCTCACTCCTCCCCCTCAGCCCCCTGGCCCTGCTCGTGCCCCTCATTCA